GGGATCTTGGGCATGCACGCACATGCGCCTGGCGTGAGTTTTAAGCCACCGGGTCCGGGACGTGAACCGCGGTCGACTACGTGGGAGTCCAGCGACATAGCCATTACACTAACTACTGGTTCCTGTTAGGAGCTTATTTTGAGGATTAAGTGAGATAACATGTGCCTTTGGAAGTGCAGAGGATGAGCTGCTGGTGGGTGAGAAGCGAATGTGGGAGCCAGCTGGACCCGCTCTGCAGTCCCAGCTCCTTCGCTTGTGCACCGTGCGATGGGGCGGTCATGTAGCCTCTCTGAGCTGCAGGCCTTGGACACTGTTGTTTTGTTTTGTGAGATACTTTGCTATAGGGAGCATGTGCTCAACCAAGACACAGAGAGATAGAAAGCAAGAAACCACCCCCCAGGGGGGATGGCCACACCACAATCCACTCTTCTCTTGCGATTTTGGGCACGCCTACACATATGCCCAGTGGGAGTTTTAAGCCGCCAGATCCAGGGCTTGAACCACGGTCAACTACGTGGAAGTCCCACAATGTAACCATTATACTATTTGCTGGTCCTGCTTGTGCAGTCTTGATAGGATCAGATGAGTGAAAATGTCACGTGCATGGTGCAGGTTTGGACACTCCAACAGCTCTTAATGGCCACTGTTACTGTGGTTCCCTCGCAGCCCCTTACTCCTTGCCTTCTTCCTCCAGCTCCACTCTGAATGAAGTCAACACCTCCTCCACCATCTCCTGCGACAGTCCCCTGGAGCCCCAAGAGGAACCAGAGCCAGAGCCCCAGCCTGAGCCCCAGGTGGAGCCCAAGCCAGAGCTGGAGCAGCAGCCGGATTCAGGCTACCCTGGGCCACGGACCGAAGCGGAGGACAGCTTCCTATAGGGGATCAGGCCTTGCCCGAAGCTTCTCTCTGCCTCCTAGTATCCAGCACCACCCGGTCTAGCCCGGCCTGGCCTCCTGTCAGCCAGGCTGCCCCTGTCAGGTGTCCCCTTCAGGAAGGCTTATACCCCTGTTGTGCCCCAGGCCCAGCCCCCTGCCTCTAGGGAGTCCATGTGATTCTGAGCCAGGGTTCCTTCCAGAGGACTCAGTTTCTCTGAATTTAGGGCTTGCTGACCTGTAACCTGGGATTCTCTCCCTGGCTGACAGGTAGGGAGGCTGGAATCCTTGGAGAGATTCTTGGGGTTAATGAAGTGATAAATTAACTTCTTTCTCTTCAGCCAGTTACCCCTCAAAGAGCAGCTCTCTCCTCGCACTCTCCTGCCCAAGAGCTGGGAAGAAACTCTGGCCTCCCTGGCTCCTGGCTGAGCTGGGGCCTGGCCTTGGGCAAAAGCCACCTCCTTGCGATGCTAGTCTCTGCTTCTCCAGGCCTGAGCCGGTCTGGGACCATCCATGCTTACTCAATGCTGGGGGCTGAGGCCACTGCAGGAGGCTCCGGCCTGCTGTCCCTGCCCAGGGCACTCAGGGTCCTCCTCGCTGTGGAAAGTGCCTGCGTCTATGTCTTCAAGTGCCTTCAGTCCGAGCTTTTTCCTCATCATCCTCAGTCTTAATCCACTTACCAGTCTGCAGGCCAGCTGGCGTCTGTGTGTGTGATGTGTGTGTTGTGCCAGTGACAAGTGGCACAGGTGTGCACTCACGTGTGGCCCTGACTCTGCACTGGACTGCTGTGAGACTTGGGAGGAATCCCTTACCCTCTCTGGGCCTCAGTATTCCCTTTGGAAAAATGAGCAAGTTGGACTCATACCTCCGAGTGCTCTGCCAGCACTAACATTCTAGAACATTTCGGGGTTGCACACTTGTCCAGGGAGCAAGGCCAGACACTCTAAACCTTCGTTCTGGGGAGATTCCACACTGCGGATTCGGGAGCCATGTCCCTTCCCCAGGCTCCGGCAAGTCCCAAGAATGCAGCTGTCCAGGTCTTGACTTGGGGTGACAGCCAGTGTCCTGGAAAGCCCCCAGCAGCTGCTCGGAGACATAGGAAGATCATGGGACCCTTGCCAACACCCGTGGTGCCATCTCCCCAGAGATGTCCTGACGAGGAGGACAGAGAAGGCAGGTCGGATCTCCTTGTGCAACTCCTGCTCCAGCATCTGCCGCGGAGGTCACCACAGAACAACGGGGACAGGGACATCCCAAAAGGACAAGAAGCTTCTGACGGGTACCCTGAGAATGGGGTGGGAGTTGCCTTCTGGCCTGTCAGCTGCTCCCTCCCAGAGGGACACTCCATGAGGCTATGGTTTTGTCACTGCCCAGGCCTGCCAGTGACACCTCTCTGTCCCTCGCCCACTGGGCACTGGAGGGGCCAAGGGGGTAAGGGCTGGAAAGAGGGTTTGGGAAGCTCAGACCTTCGGACACCACCCTCGTGCTGGTTGGCACCTCCCTGGCCTGGGTCCTCATGCCGGGGCCAAGGTCAAAGGTGTGTGTTCTCACTACGGTACCAAAGACATACTCACCTAGGTTTACGAGTATCTTTAGGACTCACGGTAACTCACATTTATACAACGAAAGGCTATTTTGTATGCTGTTACGTTTTCCTGTCTGTGTACTTTTTTTTTTTAAGGAAAAGATTTTAATATTAAACCTGGTTCTTCTCACCCGTGGACTTTATGGTCTCTCAGGGGGTCTCTGCGATCAGCAGTGGGGGTGGGAGTGGACAGTGGGTGGAAGGTGGGACAGATGAAGCTTGTCCCAACTACGGATCCTCCGGCAGGCCCGTCCAGCTCCGAGTCTCATTCCTGAATCTGTAAAGTGGGGGTTTCGCTCTTTTGCCATGAGCTTGGGCTTCAGTTCCTGAGGGGTGCAGTGGGAAGGCGGGCCTGGCTCTGGCTGGACAGGAGGACATGAGGCTGGCAGGTCTGTTCAGGGTGCTCTGCAGTGGCTGGCCAGGGCTGGGCAGGAGGGCGTGAGTGAGGCTGGCAGGACTATTCAGAGGTTCTGGAGGAGGAGCCACGGCCCCCCTGCCACTGGCCACCACGAGCTTTGGCTTCTACTACTGACCTGGGACGCTCTCCCTGCCTCCCCCACAGAGCGAGGGTGGTGTGGCTTGTGAGAGGCTTCAGCCCGATTCCAGGACCAGGTGAGTCATGGTTGGGTCTCAGGTAAGAGCGGGATAGGCAGAGCACCCAAGGGTGCCAGAGAACAAGAAGAGAGAGGGTGAAGAGAGAAGAGGAAGAGGAAGATGAAGGGAGGGAAGGGTACCCTGCGCAAGACTGGTGAAGGGAATGGGAGCCAGGCATGGCTGAGGGCAGAGGCTAGCCAGGCTGGCAGAGGGGCGTAAAGCCAGCACCCCCACTGCAGCAGCTCAGCAGTTGTGGACGGGATGAGCCAGGCATCCTGGCCCCTGCTGTCCAGCTCGGTGCCGGTCACAGGCTCCTCCACTGAGCCCAGGACTGTGGGACCCTCTCGGCAGCACAGGGCCAGGAGAAAAGAGCTGCAGGGAGCAGGGGCAAATACAAGGGCTCTGGACCTAGGCTGGGGTTTCTGGGGCTCTCTGTAAGGGGCCACTTGAAGTGGAATCAGGTTTCAGCCTGAGGGCCATCACCTACCCGCTGTGTGTCCTTGGGCCATCCTTTGCAGGTTCTGAGCTGGTGGGAAGGGGCTCCTCCATTTGGAATGGGAAGCCTTCTTGGACTGTCTCCAGGAGTCTGGGGCTTGGGAGAGGATCGGAGCCCATGGGGCAGCTCTGACTCAGATCCAGCCGCCAACTCAGGGGCAGCTGGGCCACGCCGGGGAAAACCCCATTGGCAGGAGAGCCCAGCCATGCACAGCCCACCCTCCTGGGGTTCCTGGCTTCAGAGGACACCTAGAGACCAAGGTCCCTTCTCTCCAGACTGGCAGGACCCGAACAAGGCAGCACCAGGTCTACTCTGAAGGGAATAAACAACTCACATTCCAGACGGGGATTATCTTTGCTCAAGGAAAAGCCTGTCTGGAGGTCACCTTTGCTTCTTACCAGACCTCGGGACCTGGACTGGGTGACACCACTTCAGCCTTCAATTCGCCTCGGAAGTCAATAGAGTTAACACCCCTTCTCCAGCAAGTATGACAGGCCAGGCTGTCCAGTGGCTTCACACACATGTCTCATTATACCCCCACAGCAGCTCTATGAACCAAGTCCTCCCACGATTCCAGGCAACAGAAGAGACGCAATTCAGGAAGGTTTAGAAGTGACTTGCCTTGGGGCCAGCAGTTAGCGTAATGGCTGTCGCTGGACTCCCACGTAATCCACAGCAGTTCGAGTCCGGGACCCGGTGGCTTAAACTCATGCCGGGTGTGCATGCATGCATGCCCAAGATCCCAAGAGGAGAATGGAGGAGAGGGGATTGCGGCATGGCCATCCCCCCTTGGGGGGTGATTTCTCGCTTTCTGTCTCTCTGTCTCTCTCTGTCTGGCAAGTGCGTGTGCCCTATAGCAAAACAAACAAACACAAAAAAATCCCCAAAACCAAACAAACAAAAACCTCTCTAAAAAAAGAAAAAAAAAATAATGACTTGCCCTGGGACCGACAGGTGGCGTAGTAGTTGAGTACTGGATTCACATGGCCGACTGCAGTTTGAGTCCCAGACCTGGCAGCTTGCTTTCTCACTTTCTCTCTCTCTCTGGTCAAATTAAATAATAATAATAATGAATAAAATAAAAGAATTATTTTTAAAAAGTGACTCACCCAAGATCATCTGGTCAGTACAACCTGGCTGGGATAGGAGCCACAGCCTGGTGGACTCCCGAGTCAGTGCTCAGGGAGGTATAGCACCCATGTGGGGTGCAGAGCTGGGGAGTGGGGAAGTCTGAGCTCCAGCTCCCCTTCTCCTGCCTCCAGAACTTTCTGGTGCTGTGTCCCTGAGAGAAAGAACAAGTGCTGGGTGGCGGGACAGAGCTGAGTGAATCTGAGGGCCACATAAAAATAATTAAGTGGTTTTTTAATAATTATTTTATTTATTTATTTATTTAAGCCATGTGGGAGTGTCCAGCGCCTTAACCACCACACCACCTGCCGGTCCCCTAGAATAATAAAGTTTTGTGGGGCAGAACTTGGCCCTCTTGACTCCAGTGCAGAGGGGGTGTGGAGGTCCGGGGTAACTACAGGTCAGCCCCTGCTGGGCTTCTGCCTCCCACCTTTCCCCTCAGGCTGGCCTAGGGAAAAGGAGTGAGCTGGAATTTTCCTCCCAGACAGATGAGCCACTGGCACCACACAGTTCTTCCGCCACCCCACACGACCAGGGTCCGTGTTCCTGGAAAAAGAGACTGCAGGGCTGCTTCTGCTGGAGCCCTGACCTTCGCGGCCCCCATTACTGTCCCTTCTTTGAATTAAGGCACTGTCTCTAAAGGGCCAATTTTATTTGAGTTTATTGCTCAGCTTTATAATGATTGAAAATTAATTTATATAAATGTTTTTTTTTTGTAGATTTGTTTTGTTTTGTTCTTTTTTGTTTGTCGTTTGTTTGTTTTTTACCTCAGGGCACATGTACTCACTGGAGAGAGAGAAAGAGACAGGGACAGTGAGAGAGAAAGTGAAAAATCACCTGCCCAGGGAATATGGCCATGCTGTAATCCCTTCTCCTCCATCCTCCTCCCTGGATCTTGGGCACACACACATAAGTGCCTGGTGTGATTTTTCTTTTTTTTTTAAGATTTTTACTATAGGGCGCATGTGCTCACTGGAAAGACAGACAGAAAGCAAGAAAGCCCCCAGGAGTCATGGCCACGTTGCAATCCTTTCTCCTCATTCTCCTCCTGGGATCTTGGGCACGCACATGGGCCCAGCGTGAGTTTAAGCTTCCCGGTTCAGGACTCAAACCACAGTAGACTATGCGGGAGTCCAGGGAGGCAACCATTACACCATCTGCTGGTCCCATCCTGGTGTGATTTTCAAGCCACCAGGTCTGGGACTTGAACTGCAGTTGGCCATGTGGAAGTCCAGCGACATAACTGCTACGCCATCTGCTGGTTCCTAAAATTTCTTCTAACACATGTATTTTTTTAAAAAATCCAGACACTACTAAGAAAAAAGAGAAAAAAAGTGGAATTACACAAAATCATAGTACTCCTGGGAGGTTGAGAAAGTCAGACATGGAGGGCAGGCAGGTGGCATGGTGGCTAAGGCGCTGGACTCCCCCATGGCCAACCAAAGCCCAAGTCTTGGACCTGGCGGTTTCCTTTCTCATTTTTCCTCTCTTTCTCTGTCTCTTTCTGGTCAAATTAACAATAAATAAATAAATAAATAAATAAATAAAATTAGATAAGAAAAATAAAAGGTCAAACATGAAAACAACCTTATGGAATTCAAGCTAGATGTTCTGGACTCCTGGAAGAGGTCTGGAGCCTCTTGAGTTTGTTGAAAAAGGTCGTGAACAGTGACAGGAAAAGTCAAGACAGAGCGGGCAGAGCTGAGACTTTCCCTAGGCACAGCCGGAAGCACTGAGAACCCCTGGCAAAGTGGGACCCTTCCTTCCCAGGTACGACTCAGTGCTACCCAAGGCTGGCTGGGCCTGAGCCACACCAGGCCAGCACCCAGACGCAGAGCGGGCAGCCCAGGCTCGCAGCTGAGCATGGGCTCCTGTGGGTGGTTCCAGCCAGGCCCGCAGTAACCTAGGAGACAGCAGAGAACAGCTCAGTCCACATGAGGAAGTCGAGGCTCAGAGCTGTTTGGTGACTTGCCCAGGGACACACAGTGCAGTTCTGCCTTCCAGTCTGGCATCCTCACTGTGACCTTTTTCACAGACGGTCTCAGAGCAGTGCTGGGCTCAAAGGAGGCAGCTGGCCGAGGCCGGGGTCAGGGTACTGGCTGCCTGCACAGGGTGAGGTTCCTGGCGCTCCCTGGGTGGACTCTTCTTTGGGGTGGGGGTTCTCGGTCTCTCTGGGCTGTTCAGGTTCGCACAGTTCAGAATTCAATCTGCCATGGCTGCCTCAGGTGCCTGGTGAGGGGATCGAGGACCTGGTGTACCTCAGAACCCAGACTCTCCACGCCCCGTAAGCTGGCTCCCCCCACCCCTGCTTGCATGCCTATGCTCTCCAGCCGCTCTCCACCGCCCCTCCCCCCCGCCTCTCAAGCCCCTCTGGCGGGCTGCAGGGCGGCCTGGCTCCCTGACTCCAGTTCCCCAGCCTTTCTGGTTTTAGGTTTTGTGGGTAATCACTGCAAGGAACTAGAGATGTGACAAACATGGGGAAGTAACACAGCTTCTGGAAAATCTCAGAGTTCTCAGAGTCCCAGTTTCCCCCTCTGAAGACACAAGATGGACACCTCCACGTCTGAGAGCTTCTCCTTGTCGTCAGTACTGATCTTGAAGCACGGCAATGACCTTGGCCCGCCCTTGCCTCAGTGGGGTCTCAGGGCCAAGCCCAGACTCCCTCATGTGGCCTTCAAGGCCCTCCCTGACTGGTTCCAACCTTCCCTGTCGCTTCCCCACATCTGTTCCCCAACACTGTTCCGTGTGGGCCACACGCTTTCCCACCTCTGTCCATCAGTGCCGCCCTCACACCTAGAAACAAGGCCTCTGTGGCCGAGGTCAGTGTCTGGCTCATTTCCAGCCCAGCGCACAGCCCCCTCCTCCAGCAGGCCTCCCTGCTTTCTCTTCCAGTCCTTCGTGCCCTCAAGGGC